TCTTTCCCAGGACAAGTGCAGCTGAGGTAACGTTAGAGGTAAGAGGATTTGAATTAGGTGGAGATTTAGCAGGCTCAGCAAGGCTCTTCAGCTGGAAAGGGTATGGGGAGAAGAGGGATGGAAATTGTTCACTCACTACAACTTTCTAGGAAGTCGGCCACACCTCCCCACAAAGATCTCCCCTCACCCAACCCCCAAATTTCATTCCACAAAGTCCTGTGTTTTGTTTTGTTTTGTATTAAAAAATATTAACAGACACAATATCAAAAACACAAATGTCATCGGTAGAGGTACAGCTGAGAACGCCTGGGTCCCACCTGAGGGGCAGCACCAGGGACTCCATGGTCCACCAACTTTCCCCACCTTGGAGCAGCTAAGGGTTTGGACCACCCGCTCCTGCTTAGGCCTCAGGCCCTCCTCCTCCCATCTGAGGAGGAGGGGGGAGAGAGGGCTGCCTCCCCCAATAAATAAGTACAGTCCCCAACCCTGGCAGACCAGGACTCTGGCACAGCTGAAACTTGGAGAGACCACTTCAACAGCCTATCAGCAACCTTGTCCAGAGGAAGAAAGGATTCCTCACCAGGGGTGGGAGGTGAGGCTTTTCTAGGCTGGGCTGAAGAGTTCCACTCTCTGTTCTCTCAGAGGCTAGAGGCAACCCCAGGATCCTGGGCTGGTTATGGGGGTCCAGCCCCCTACAATGGGAGAAGCTGGGATAGTTTTGCTATTGGTTGGTCCAGCCACATCTGTATTCTGAGAGTCGAAGCATGGGAGAAGGAAGCTTCTCATGCACTCCTGGAAGTTGCCCCAAAATGTAGTCTAGCTGGTGCCATTATCTGTGGCAGGTATGGCTGGACTGCATGAGCTCCCACCTTGTTCCTCTTCCTCCATGGCTAGGTCCTGAGAGGTTGAGACCCTGGTCCCAAATTGGGCCTGGGCCTCATCTCCACCCTCAACCTCACCACCACCACCACTGCTTTCACCCTCCTCCATGGGCTCCAGCCCTAATCCATCCAGTTCCGAGAAGAGTGGGTCATCAGGGTGGCCAGGGTCCTGGGTGTTACTACCGCAGTCCACACAGGCCTTGGAGGGAGAAAAGGGATGAGTGAGTCAGGCAAAGTTCTCTCATTGCTGACCTCCTAGCCCAGCTCCCCTTATCCCCAGCCCAAGAGTACTTCCCAAAATGTACTCTGAAGAAACATTAGTCCACACAGATGCACATGGGGCCAACAAGATTTGAAAATGCACCATACCCTGTATCCAGACCCCACTATGGGGCAGTAACAATGTACATTAGCATAGAATTGGCCCAGAAAAGAAAACTCATGTGGTTTAATGTTATATAACCCAGCAGCAAACTTAGTGGAATTAACATCCTTCGGAATTAATGATCCAAAGACAATAAAGGGATCAGCCCTGAGCCTCTATCCTTTCGACTTGAGCTCAATTCTTTCTTCTCCCTCCTAGCCCAGACTTCTCTCTCACCATTACATCAAGAGCCCGAGGCAGCTGGCCCTTCCGGACCCAGGAGTGCACAGCACCTAGTTCCCTCCGCTGGTCCTCTGAAAACCGAGGCTGCTGCTTCTGCATGGCCCGGAGCCGCTCCCGGTCCTGCTTCAGCACTGAGGCTATGTCCCTGCCCGGAGAAGAGGTTCAGAAGACTGGGAGCAGGGGCCAGGGCCCGAGAGGCTAGCATTCTTCCTCTACCACAACTCCTCATCCACTGCTTCATGCTCGTTCCCTGAACCAGTGCTCTGGGAATTCAGGGATTCTAAGACCAGGAAAGCTGCCTTGAGCCTGGGAGGAACTAATAAGGGGGCTCCAACAGGCAGAGGATAGAATGGGAAGCCAAAGAGCCACCCCCCAGAAAAGAAAACCCCAAGTTACCTAGGGAATAAGGGTGGGCCAGCCCCCTACCCCTTCCCTCTGAAAGGGAGGCAGAGGAGGCCTCAAACTCCTCACCTGGAGGGCACCTGGTAGGTCATCATGACACGCTGGTCAGCATTGGCCATGAGCAGCCAGATAGGATCCTGGAGCACGTACTTAATGACCTGGTCCCCAGGCTCAGCCCTGGCTTGGGCAGCCCCAGCCTCAGCCTCAGAAGAGTCGATGCTGCCAAAGTACTTGCTTGTGTGGCTGCTCTGACTGCTGCCTGTGAAGCAGGGGGCCCAGCCAACAAAGTCAGGCTGGCTGGCTCTTCCACCCCTGGGACCTCGCAAGGCCTCCCTCAAGGACCTCCTCAATGCCACATGTCCAGCCCACTGGCCTTAGGAAGCAGATTGTGGGCCCAGGCTGTTCAGCCAAGGTGGGGCCTGACCTCCCAACTCCCCAGTCACTGTTCTACCATGGGACGTGTTAGTGGGGGGTACTCACGTGTGATGCTGGCCGAGGTGCTGCCCCCTTCATGTGAGCCTGAACCAGATCCAGAGCCCAAGCCAGAGCCCAAGGAGCCTGAGGCAGCAGAGCCTGTGCCAGAGCGAGAGTCTTCTTGCAGCAGCAACTCTAGGAGGTCACTGGAGCCCGAAAGCGCATCCTGATTGGAAGACTCAGTTACCTCCACCTGGAGAGAAGTGGAAGGAGGACAGGGAGGGATTAAAGGATTAACACCTGGGTTTCCCTTCAACTGCTTCCACTGATTGGGGGGCACACTCAACCCACCCTGATCCCCTCTCCATGACAGTGGGGCCAGAATGAGAGAGCAGAGACCTGGCAAAGAGTAGAGACATAACGCTGGACTATTTCCAAGTGGCAGATGCACACTGAGAAGTTATTGGGATGTCCTCACTTGCCTGTCAGACAGGACTGTCCCCGCTTCACAGGTGAAGCAGCTAATTTCTGCCTCATTCAGAAATTCACCTGGGGTCTCACCCCATGACACTATCTTCTGGAGATGGCAATGCCAGGCAGACAGAGGGCAGGAAGTGCAAAGTGGAGGAGGGGTGAGGGGATAGGCGCTATGTGGGGGCCAAAAGAGGATTCAGGAGAGTCAGTGCTCACCAGTCTGGCCTCTGGCTCAGCAGCCTCCTCATTGGGAGGCAGGGGCCCAGAACTGCTCCCAGGGCCCCCTGCAACAGCACCCCCATCAACACGGGGGGGCTCCTCAAGCTGCAGTAGATTTAGCTGGAGCGGGGAGCTGCATCTCGAGTTGAATAGCGGAGAGTCCGGGCGGTGGAGAGGGCTGGGGAGCAGTGGGGGCAGGGATGGAGAAGGGGAATGGGAGGCAGGGGTAGGAGGCCCCTCGGTGGAGGTCTGGAGTACCCCATAGGGATAGCTGGGTGGGGTAGGGAACAGATAGTTAGGGAGCACTAAGGCCACCATTGGGGTCACCAGGGGGGCTGGGAAAGCTGCAGGGGGCACAGATGTAGGGGCAGGGGGAAGAGGCTGGGGGTTGCCTCGGGGTGAGAACACTGGAAGGGGGTAGGGCTGGACCACAGATGGGAAGGGAGTAGTAGCTGATGGTGGGGGCCAGGGGGCAGAAGGTGGCACAGGTGAGGGATGGGAGATATAGCAGGGCGCTTCCACCCGTGGGGTCTGGTGGTGACGTGAGCGCTTGGCTTTGGATCGGCAGTGATGGCGGCGGCTGGGGGGTACAGGACCATGGTGGCAGCCTGTGGGGAGAGACCAGGATTAGCGAGGGCCTCAACCTGGAGGTTAGTGCCCCTGTCACCCCAACTGTCCTGCCACTCAGACCAGGGAGAGGGCAGGCAAAGGCCAAGGAGACAGTTTGGCTTCCCAGCCCACACAGAACAGAGGGGACTGTGGGGAGATAGAAACCTTCAGGGAAGAATCACAGGAGGCAGGGACAGGGGGATTTATTGAGAAAGGAGCCAGGGACAGGTTACATGAGGGGTCAAGCTGGGGATGTGCAGAAGAGAGAGGCATGCTGGCAGATGGGAGGAGGCAGGGTGGGTCCACAGACGAACGGGCAGGAGGCTCTGGTCCATCTGCCAAACTCCTGCAGGCACTGCCAGCCTTGGTGTTCCTTCTGCCAGTCAAGGCTGTGCTCTGTCTAGCTCATGATGGAGTGAAGAGGTGGGCAAGAAAGCCCAGTCCTGAATCCTGCTTCTGCCTGCAGGAGGCCTCCCCTCAAGCACCTGCTGGGCTGCCATCTGCCCTTGAAGCCCAACCCCACTTAGAGTCATCCCAACCCTTGCCTGTATTCGGCACAGAGTTTGTATAAATCTCTTACTCAGCAACAACTGAGTCAGTCCTAAGTGGGCATACTTCTTGCTCCAGCCCCCATGCTGGGCCTGAAATAGCTTACCTGGAGCAGAGCACCTCTGCCTACCTTTCTCAGGACCAAACCCCCAGGCTGCCCTCCTCTGGCTCCAGCCTGGAACCCCAGCCTCATGGGGAGAGGCTAGTGAGGGGCCTGTCTCTAGGCAGCACCCTGGTGGTGGAGGGAGCACCAGCCTGGGTCCCTGGAGCAGGAACATCTCCCTCAAGAACTCCCTCCCCACAACAGTCTGGTCCTAGATGGGGCAGAGGGCAGGCTCAGGGAGGTAACAGGTAGCTACCTCGCTCACCAGGGGCCAAGGGGGCCACAGAGGAGCCATCAAGTCCACGCAGCCTGCTGAGGTCACGGAAGCGGCTGAGGAAGGCCTGCTCCTCCTTCTGTGTGTGCAGGGACAGCACAGCCTTGGTCAGGCCCACGGGGCGGTAAGCATCTGGGGCTGGGTCAGGGGCTACTGTGGGGCTGGGGGCTGGGCTGGGGGCTGGGCCTGGAGCCAGGCTAGGCAGGTCTTCCAACATGATGATGTCTGAGGAAGGCGAGATTGGGGAAAAGTCATCAGAATCACCTGAGGAGTTAACACATCCATACCACACCCTCCCTGTCCGACAGCTTAGCTAACCCCTGGCCTCTTCCCCAGTGCCAACCCTGGGCCATGTGCATCTCTTGACCTCCTCCCTGATGAGGAATGGCTCTGGGCCTTCTACTCTATGCAAAGCTGTCCCAGGATACGGAGAATACTCAATCCCCTTCAGTGGCACTACCCTAGGATAACCCATGACTCTCATTGGAAGGGAAGCCCACCCCTTGCCCTTCCCTCCCACATTCTTCAAGTCAATGCCCTTCAGGGGTTTTCAACAGTCCTAGCCTTCAGACCCTCTATGGTCAGCACCTCAGGGTTGAACCCCCCACCCCAAACTTTGTGTGTGAACTGACAACAACAACACAGGAAGCAAAATGGGGGAAAGAAAGCAGCAAAGGCTGGTGGAGGTGGAGGCAAAAAGCGGTAGCCCCAAGATAAAATGGAGGCCTCCTTCTCTCCAATTAGGGCCAGAGGGGGAGAGGAAAAGCAGGAGGGAGGGAGCTCTGGCTAGGGGACCATGGGGAACCTGGGCACTACCCGCCTCACTCCATGCCCATACCCGACTCCGGGGGCTTCTTGTCTCCTACATGGACGATGGTAGAGCTGAAGCTACACTGACTGGTGACGGACACCACGCTCTCCGCCTTATTGGCCAGGGTGAGCGGGCTCAGGGTGCCTCCCACCACCGGCTCCTTCCGAGGGGTGGCCCCCTCCCCAGACAGCACTGCCGACGGATCTGTGCAGAGAGATGGCACCAGTTACCACTGCCGCCCCAACCAGGAGGTCAGGAGAGGAAATCCCAGGGAAGAAGAGGAAGGACAGACAGTAGGGAGGAGTCTGGAGATCTAGAGGCTGGGAGTGGTACAAGGCAGAGCAAGGTGGGGGCCCCAAAGACAGAAGGATAGAGACACAGGGCCAGCGGGCCAGGACAGGGCAGTAGGAGCAGGGCATGTACCAGGTCTTTACCTTTCTTGGTCCCCACAGAGACTGGACCTGTCCTCTGCTTATCATCATCAGAGGCTGAGGAGGTGGTGCAGGAGGAAGAGGAGGCACATTTACGCTTGGTCGTGCCAGGGATGTTGCAGCTCTCCAGGTACCTGGTGATACAGCAGAGGACATAAGAGCAGGACCTGGGGTGGGTGGGGCCAGGGCCCAAGTGGGAAAAGGTGCTGGACCGGCCTTACCTGAGGATGCTGTCCAGGCAGTTGATCTGTTGGTAGGAGCAACTGGAGGTTTCTTTTCTCTCAGCCTCTTCAGTAGCCAAAACCAGTGGGGCCTGGACTGGAGGAGGGGCTGCCTCCAGCTCTGGGTCTGGAGAATGGCGAGGAAGGATCTTGGCCCTGAATGTGTCTGTAGCTGCACCAAGGAGAAAAAAAGGAAAGCTCCTCTGGGTTGGGGTGAAGGTGAGGGGACCCCCAGGTCTCACTCCTCACCCATACCTTCACCAACTTACCAGGGAGGTGGGGCCGGGGCAGAGGCCGAGCCCGGGACTCAATAAAAAGCTGCTGCCCCTGGTGCTTCACCAGATGTACATCCTTACAGATCTGCTGGAAGGTCACCTATGGGACAAAACAGGGCAGTAGGCAGCATTGGAGGGACTTGGCCAATGTCAAGAGCTTTAAGCACAGTATAAGAAGGGACCCGTGGAGAGGCGTGGAGAACATGAGAGCAGTACAAGAAGGAAGAGGAGTGGGGAAGAGGCAGAGTTCCTCTGGGATTGGCAATACTGATTCTGAGAAGGACAGGGGAAGGGGAGACTAGAAGGGTGAAGTGGGAGGACACTCACTGGGGCAGGAGGCCCAGGCCCCTCAGCATCACCCCCATTGCTATCACTGGAGGAGCCAGGGCTGAGGAGAGGACCTGGGGAAGTCACAGGGCCGACTCCACATAGCCCCGTTGGGCTGGGGCTGTGCACTGGCTGAAGCGGAGAAAAAAATGGGTTAGATGTCTATAGCCCTGCACCCCACACCTTCCTCATCTCCCGAGCCTCCTCCTCTCAACTGTCACCTGCAACAGCAGCCGGTGGATCTGCTCAGATAGCTCCTGGATATCAGGGTCCAGGGACAGAGCTGGGCTGGGGGCTGGTGGAGTGAACACATCCTCATTCAGGGGTGCCCTGCAGGGTGGAAAAGAGTAAGTCGAGCCCTGGCCCCTCCCACACTGTCCCACATCCCAATGCCAGCTCTGGGGCACTTACGTGCGTACTTTGTGGCGGCCCAACACAAAGGCTACCTTGCGGCTCCAGGGGTGCACGAAACCAGCCCAGCTGGTGTCCATGGTGACATACTCTCCATTACGGGCACAGAAACGGATAGGGGAGTGATCAAAGGGCTGGCCAGCCAGCTGCAGGACTGAAGGGAGTGGAAATGAGGTGGGGATCAGCAGGAGGGAGAGCTGAGTAAGATAGAAAACCACCCCATTGGAGATCCAGGAGACAAAGGCACTGAGAGACATAATTATGATGGCAGCCATTAAGAAGCCGTGGAGATGGCCAGAAAAGAAGAGCAATGTGAGAGAAACTCACTCTTCTTGTGGATAGCCAGCATCAAGGGTCGGTCCTCGGGATGCAGGAACAAGAGCACTGGGGCCCCCAGGAGGTCCTGGGGGAGGTAGCCGAGCAGCGGGGCAGCCCTGAAATGGGAGGAGGCATCAGTCTGGCCATGGTCTCAGCCCTGGCCAATCACTTTTCCTCTAGATCCTGACCTCACCTTTCGTCCACATCCTGGAAGAGGCAGCTAGGCGTGTGTCGTGTGGTGAAGATTCTCTTGTCGGGAGGGATCCGAGGAGCTGAGTAAAGAAAGTATGGCCACTGGGTTTCATCTGGAATGGTCCAGCTCCTTAGCCCTCCATGCTGCCTGGGGTCCAGGCTGGCTGGCAATCCTCCCTACAGCTCTGTCCTGGGCCTTCTAGCCTACAAAGACAGTCTGGACCATTTTTGTGCCCCATAGTAGGTATGAAACTGAGAACAAAGCACTCTTCTCTGCCCTCTTCTAGCTCAGAGTTCTTATCCAACTACACCTCTAAAGGAGATCTCAAACCTTTATCCTTATAATACCTTCTTTGTTCCAAAATTCTGAGGGACTGGATCATGCCTCCCAGACTCAGGTTCTGACTCACCCCCAGCCTGGATAAGGTGCCCTTCCTCCTACTCCCACCAGGCCAGGCCCTGGCCTGCGTACCTTCGTAACCCGAGTGGACACGTTCTGCGATGAGCAGGCAGCATGGCTGCGTGGGGGCCCCATCTGAGACCCTGATCTTGGTCAAATACGGGGTTAGGCGGAATGGCTGGTAACGAGGCCCCAGATCCCGGTCAGGACCTCCTCTAGCAAGGGAGAAAAAGAGATGTTAGGGACTATCAATGAAGGGCTACCCACCCTCCACCTCAAGATCACGATTCACACAGTAAAGAAAGGTGGAATGGAAGGTAGGAGGGGTCTGCTCCCACTTACCCCACCTACCTGATACGGCAGAAGACAGACTTCTCCTGGGTGAAGTCTTTAAAGCCTGAACCTGGGACAGACCAGAAGGGAGGTAAGCACAGCCCCTCAACACTCTCCCTAAGCTGAGGAGAACCCAGCGAGGAAAATCTTGGGTCCCCTGGCCCCTTACAGCAGGAGCTTCCTGGGACCACTCATCCCTCCCCCCAGCACTTGGGGACCTCACCTGCTGAGGCCCCAGTGCCCCAGGTGGGCAGGCGAGATGGGGCAGTGGAACCATAGAAGACGCCCACATCCTGGGGAGCCAGGAACTCTGAGAAGCGAGCACCCCGGAACACATCCCGCTTGCAGTGCAGCAGGATACCTGCCTGCTCCGAAATATAGACGATTCGGCCTGTCAGGAAGGAGACAGCCACGGAGAAGGTATCCTGGGCAGGAGAGTGGGGACAAGAGCAGATTCAGGAGCCATGGGAATGGGAATAGGGGTGCGTTGGGATGGAGAGGCCAGGCTGTGACTGACCTGGTTTCGAAGTGTGTACTCAGACGTGATGTGCTCCAGCTCCTCCAAAGTGTAGGTAGACATGTCCATGGCACAAGGTTCACCCTCCTCCAAGCTCCACTGCTGGTAGTATTCCTGGTTGGCTGCAGGGAAAGGGCAGTGGGGCATTCAGTGAGGAGACTGACTCACTATAGTAGCCCAGGACCAGGTCACTGCCCTCCTAGGAAACACCACTCACCCTGCACCTGCTTGACACAGGCCAGAGCATACTGTAGTGTGGCCAGGGTCCCAGAGCGGCCCTTGCCCCGATGCTCTGGCGGCAGCCGAAGCTTGAGCTCCCGAAGTGCCGTCATGAGTTCCTTCTGGGTTCTTGCCCGGGCTGACTGTTCACTGCTGCAGGACCAAAGGAAGCAGGGGTATAGGCATTAGCCCCAGAGTATGGCCCAGGTCCCCAGCTTCTCCCCCAGCCCTCACCCCACGAACCTGCAGCCACTGGTAGACGGGTTGTCCTGTTCTGAGCTGGCACTCAGGAGGCTGTAGGCAATGGAACTGCTGGGTGGGGACGGGCTCTGAGAGTTTGTGCTAAGGAAGAAGCAACAAGCCCAAAATGAGGAAAAAGTCGTCAGCAGCATGAGCCTGTCTCCTAGTTCAGCCTGCTCACAAGACCACTCCCCAACCCTATAACATACAACCATACAAACCTCTTGCTGCTTTCAGTAGTCTCCAACAGGGCTGAGTCCTTGCCATTGCCAGAGGAAGAGCTATGTGAGCTCCTCTGAGATGCACCCCTGGACTCGGGCCCATTGGACTCATTGCCACTTGAGCCATTGCTGTTGGCATCCGTGTCATCAGTCAAGCTGGGGCCAGGGCAAGGCCGGTGCTGTGGAGGCCCAGGAGATGGGGCCCCTCCAGAACAAAAGGATTCCCCCGGCCTGGGATCCCCTCCCCCATCAACCCCTTCTAGGGGGTCACTCATGTCTGGTCCATGGGGAGGGCAAGCAGAGAACAGGGATGGCGGAGAGGCCACCACGGATGCACAAGGCGGGCCGGGAGGCCTGGCTAGGGGAATGAAGTGGGAGACCCAAGCCTCTGAGGATTGAGAATTTCGATCACAGCCAGCACCTAAAGAGGAAGACAAGGAAGGAGGGCTTAGCGAAAACTGGGCTGTTAACTTCACAGTACCTGTCGGCTTCACTCAGACCCTCCCCTCTGCCTGTCCCTACGCTCCTGGGACCTAGGCTTCCAAAAGGGGACGTAGGTAAGTTCTGTTTCCAGTTCCCGCAGGGGGGCTGTAGGTGGGAAGGAGCCTCTTTTTGGCCATCCCCCACAACGCTTGCCAGCGTGACCTAGGTAAGCAGAGCCTGAACAGTCCACTATAACTATGGCTGTGGGCCAAAGCCCAGACACGTCCCACGCCCAAATTCCCATCGGGCGCCAACTCTGCGGGGGACTCCAAGGCCACTAGGCAGGGAGTGAGTCTCTCGCCTCCTATATTTAGGGCTCTGGGCTAATTTTATCCGGGGGCG